TACTGAACATCACAGTGCAACACAGTGCACAGCAGAACATGAGTTCTTTCCTCTACTGATCCACGGCAGATTGGGAGCTGTCACCTAATGCCACAGCCCAATGTTGAAAAAGAATATTGCATGATGAACCGTCAGCATGAGATAAAATGAAAATTCGAAAATTCAAAGCAGTTTCTTCTGGGTGGCTATGATCATAAAATCGAAAGGCTGTAAGTGGAGTCATCTTAAATAGGGATCACGTCTATTAAAAATCAATTGGGGAAGGAGGTAGGGTGGGCTAATGGATGGTGTGCAGCAAAGCTTCTCTCGGGAAAGTGGCATTTGCTGAGGTGAGGGCCGAGTGTGTGACACCTCGGAAGAAGATCTTTTAAGGTCATAAACCTAGATGAGGTCACCAAAACTTTCAGAGACAGTTGACAGAAAGGACAAAACAGCCACGCTTGTCTTTCTTTGTGTGGTTGCCGTTGTCCTTAGTTCAAAGTCATTGTTTTCAATGTGCAAAGTGCTATGTAGCACTTCTTCATACAGTCACTTTGATAAAATATTTAGAGTCAGCTCGTTGACAAGAGTCATGTGTGCTTTCTCCTAAACAGAATTTTAACAATTTGGTAAATTCTATTCTTCTCATTCACAAAAAAAAAAAGCTACTGCTTTCATGGAGCAGGGGCTTCAGTGCTTTCAGCTCTGTTTCTGAATGGCCGCCTCCATTTCCTCCCTGGTGATATCCGATAGTAATGGCTTCATAGACAATTTGGAGCTTCAAGTGCTCCGAGCTCAGATGGACCACTGGATAACTGGCTTCACAGAAAAAAGAGATGCCCGGGAGCTAGAAAGCCAATCAATACTTCAGTATTTTGTTATATATTAATCCACCAAAAGACATAAAACACGCAAGCGCACAATACCTAGTGTTTAGCATCCAGGCAGTAGACTGATTAGCTATTGATTTTTCCCCTCTATGTTATAGAAAAGCTGTGAGGCTTATATTGGAAGGCGTGGTGCTGGTCCTGTCTGCAGTAGCTATTTAAGGAAAGGAAACATGTATATGCAGAGGGTTCTTTGACCTTTTGATTTACTAGTTTAGTTTAAATATGCAAAGCACACTGAGTCTGCAAATACTAAAATTAAATCCAAACTAAGTACAAATACCAAATTTGCAAGTTTACATTCTTCTTTATAATATATTATTAGGATGATGAGTGAGTACACTTAAGAGACACTGACCTGAAGTCTGATTTTCTTCCGAGTAAATAAATGGCTGGAAACCCACAAATACTTTGGTTCAGAGTGGAGGATCTGATGGGCACTGGGAAATGGCATGGGAAAGGTGTCAGGTTCCTGAATCTCTGAGCATTTATTCAACACATCATGCTTGGTTCTTCAACTGTCCAGTGATAGAGTTTTACCTGCTCATGTCTCCAAACTGCCAGGCGGTACAGGAGGCTGCACCGTGCCTGCTGTGGTTGGTCCAGCTTCCTGCTGCTCACCTGCTGCAATGCCTTTGGGTGGAAGCCTGTAAACTGCCCAGGAGCCATAGGAAGCCCACGAGGAACTCTGCCATCTCCTCAGTTCCAGGGCCACCCTTGTAACAGTGACCTATGGAGCTGGTGCCACTTCTCTGTAGGTTTGTAGATCCAGTTTCCAGACATCAAGCAGCCTTTGTCCTATACCTTCCCATTTACTGAGAGGCACAAGAAGGTCTCTCTTTCCTCTACACGTCTGCAGAACTACCTTCCTTTACACCTTCACTGAAAGCTTTTTGTTTTTGTTTTATTTTATTTTATTGAACTCTACATTTTTCTCTGTTCCTCTCCCTGCCTCGTCCCTGCCTTTCAACCCTCTCACGTAGTCCCCATGCTCCCAGTTGCTCAGGAGATCTTGTCTCTTTCTGCTTCCCATGTAGATTAGATCTATGTAAGTCTCTCTTAGTGTCTTCATTGTTGTCTAGGTTCTCTGGGATTGTGATTTATAGGCTGGCTTTCTTTGCTTTATGTCTAAAAATTAATTATGAGTGAGTAAATATGATAATTGTCTTTCTGGGTCTGGGTTGCCTCATTCAATATGAAGTTTTATAGCTCCATCCATTTGCCTGCAAATTTCAAGATGTCATCATTTTTTTCTGCCATGTAGTACTCCATTGTGTAAATACAACACATTTTTCTTATCCATTCTTTGGTTGAGGGGCATTTAGGTTGTTTCCAGTTTCTGGCTATGACAAACAAAGCTGCTAAGAACATAGATGAGCATATGTCCTTGTGGCACGACTGAGCATCCTTTGGATATATACCCAAAAGTGGTATTACTAGGTCTTGAGGAAGGTTGTTTCCTAATTTTCAGAAAAATCACCATACTGATATCCAAAGGGGCTGTACCAGCTTGCATTTCCACCAGCAATGCAGAAGTGTTCCCTTTTCCCCATAACCTCTCCAGCCTAAGTTGTCATCAGTGTTTTTGATCTTGGCCATTCTTACAGGTGTAAGATGGAATCTCAGAGTTGTTTTCATTTGCATTTCTCTGATGACTAAGGATGTTGAGCATTTCCTTAAGTGTCTTTCAGCCATTTTAGATTCCTCTGTTGAGAGTTCTCTGTTTAGGTCTGTACTCCATTTTTTTAAAAATTCAATTATTTGTTCTTTTGATGACCAATTTCTTGAGTTCTTTGTATATTTTGGAGATCAGACCTCTGTCTGATGTGGGGTTGGTGAAGATCTTTTCCCATTCTACAGGCTGTCATTTTGTCTTGTTGACCATGTCCTCTGCTTTTCAGTCTGAAAGCTTTTTGTTATCAAGCACTTCCACCTTAACCTCACTTAAAGCAACGGCCGTAAAGTGGAAAAGTTGCATACAAGGGAGTGAAAATGAGTCCTATCTTCCTCCATCAATATATAACACTAAGCTTGAAATATATTACATAGTTAAATGTGAAATTGCATGATGTCTTAAAGAAAGCGTATAGGGGAAAGCTGGTCTGGGCATTAGTTTTTCCAGATCTGACTCCAAAAGCTCAGCAAGAGAACTCAAAACATACATGCAGGACTGCATTAAGCTACAGAAGTCCTGCCAAGAATGTGAATGATTGACACTACCTGTGGGTTGAGATGAAATGTTTCAAAGCATCCACCTGACAAGGGGTTAATACTGAAGCACTCACAAAATCAACCCCAATGGCAAGAAAAGAGCTCATTTCAACACTGAGCAAAGGCTATGACTAGACATGTCTCCAAAGGAGACATACAGGTGACCAAGACATAGTGGAGAACATACTCAATATGACTGATCGTTATTGAAATGAAAATTAAACTCCAGTGAGACATCACCTCACACCTGTCAAGACAGCTTTTATAAATGAAAATAAGTGTGGAGAAGAGGGAACTTTTCTTCATGTATTGATGGTGGGATTGCAAATTAGCACAGACATCATGAACAATGTTATGGAAGTTACATTAAAAAACAGAATAGAATTACCATATGATCCAGCAATTCAATTTCTGGGTACATGTCCACAACCTTTTCATCAATGGCTGAGTGCATAATGAAAGTGGGGAATCTAATAGATTGTATCTGAGACTTAAACTGAAAGAAATGATGACATTTGTGACAACATGGATGGAGCTGTGGACCATCCATGGCAAGGGAAATATAAATGTAGAATAGAAAATGAATGAACTCTTAGAAGCAAGAGCAGAATGTTGTTTCCTGGAGGCTGTCAGCTGGGAGACATAGGTTGATATTGGTCAAAGGGTAAAATTAAAAGAAAATCCAGATTTTAAAACAATTTTTATTTTTATTTACAGAGTAACATCTCAAATGTCCTATTATAAATAAATACTGATTCCAGCGTGGTGGTTCAGGTCTATAATCCTAGCACTAGGGAGGCCGAGGTAGAGTGTTTATAACTTCGAGGCTAGCTTTGGCTACTCCACCCACCCAAAGGCAGCATGTGCTGTATGTGGAGACCTTGACAAAACTTGTGAGGTGCTATGTTAACCGTCACTTGATTGGTCTGTTCCACATTTTGTGTGTGCTAATGCCACTTTGCGTTCTAATTATACAATTATAATTTACTAATGCATGATAAAACAACCCACAACCATTCCAAGAATCATACACAAGACATCTAAACTCATACATTCCACAAATCTACATACAAGAAATGTCTGGATCATGGGAGTCCACTGGCTTGGTGGCCACTACAGTTGGGGGAAGAGAGTTGGCTTCATGAGTACAGGTTTCTTTTTGGACGAGGACAATGTTTCGGAATGAAGAGGTGGCAATTATACGGCATTGGAAAACCACCCATTGCTGTGGACTTGCACATTTTAAAATGGCTAAGTGGTTACGTAAATTTACACACAACTGAAAAAAATCACAAGCTCACTAAGGACAGCCTTCTTTACCATTTCCCCCAAAGAACACTTGTAGGCAGCATGCAGTTCATTTGTTTTGGTTCTTGTATAGAGTATCCCAAGGCTTCCTGTCTGTTTCACTCTCTGGACCTAGATCAGGCCTGGAACCAATAGAAGAGGCACATACATATTTTACCTCTTTGAAGCCCCTCCCCTTAATAAAAGATCTCTGACATTTCTTAGGGGAGATTATTTCATTTTAAGGAGGATAAAAATAGATAACCAATACAGGAATAGGTACCCAAACATATAAATGAGTGAGAATAGAGAGAAGGAGAAAAGGAGCAGGTACCCTATCAGGCTTCCTAATCTCATCACGCAGGAGGCAAACAAACAGCACAGCAGAGCTTCAAAATATTGGGAGGACAGGATCAAACATGAAACACAGGTTCACTTCTCATTTGCAAGGACTAGAAACCATATTTTCCTTTAAATTCTAAAGGATCAACCAGTGCATCGATCGAAACAGGAGAGCGGGAAGACAGAAAGCTGCTAATAAACCCAGTTCCCCCCCCACACACACATGCTCTCAAGGGGAATTCAGCCCCACACACGCCTGTGCAAAAAACTGGGACACCGAGTTCGAGAACATACCGATGAGCTCCTTATTTCTGACATCCAAGGCCATGTTCCGGAGCGCCGTGGCCACTGCACACACCACACGGTCGTTGTCTATTCGGAGGAGCTCCACAAGGATGGGCAGGCCTTTCTCTTTCCGGACAGCAGCTCGGATATAGACAGACCACTGCCAAAAGAGGGAAGGCAAAGGAGATTAGAAACAGAGGTGAGAAGCCCTATAAAGTCGACAGCTCTGAGGGTCGCCAGGCGGCTGTTCGCAGGAACCAAAAAGGTTGACTTGCCATGACGTAGCTGCAGAACAGGCTGAGTAGGTTAGACATGCACTGGGGAGTGTTTGCTTTCCCCCTCTGAACCAAACATAAAAGTTCCAGGGTTGCTCCATGGACCACAGTTCCTTTCTACGGTGGCAGTGTTTTCAGCATGTGGAGACAAAAGCCACATACAGGATGTGCACGCGTGATGCTGTAAGATGTGAAGGTTTGGGGTGGGCAGAGCTGACCACTGATATTAGAGAAATCAAGAAAGAACTACCACACGCAGGAAGTAGTGTGAGTTGCATACGGGTGGTCTTTGAAAAGAGCTCTGAGGTGGCCCACAGAGATCAACCGCCATGCATGCAAGGGAGGGGGCCTTGTTCAATGGAGAAGAAATAAGGAAAAGAGAGTATGGACTGGGGAGAGGAAAATATGACCTTGAGAGAATGGTAACACTTTTTGAAATAAGAACATTAAGATAAAAATGTATTATTTCCAGGGCTATCATCCAATGTCCTATGTTTTAAAGACATGATTTGTTTTGGTTTGGGGCTGGTGCCCTGGTTGGGCAGATAAAGCCCCCGGCCTCAGTCATTTAAGAAAATGCAGGTAGCCTGAGCCTTGTAGACATGCACACATGTTTTGGACTGTTCCATAGTGTTCCAGAGACAGCTGTGAGCAAAGACTGACTGTCAGGGTTCGATGGGTGGCAATTCCATTTACGATCTGGAAAAAATACATTCAGGAGAAAGGATTCGGATTTGGAGGGAACCAGTCCTTCCCGGCCCCTCCCCCCACCAGGCCCACTCCAGCCCCCCAATCCCCCACAGGGACAGGCACCCCAGAGCTGGCTCTCACCTGTGGCAGGCAGGGAGCCCCCTCTGGCAGTGAACGTAGGGCATACGCCATGCCTGCCACATCCTCAGCCCAGCCCTGCATGAAATATGAGATTAAAAAAAAAAAAACAAACAACTTCATCCTGTCCTACGTTAGAAATCACATTCACATTCTTTTCAACACCACCATCCAGGGAGGCACGCTTCTCTTCTCCCTCTGTGCCTGCGGAGGAGGCGCGCAGTAAACTCACCATGGCACCTCTCAGCCTATCCAACAGCCCCAAGGACAGAAGCCAAGGGAACGACATTCAGGAGCCCAGACGACAATGGAGAAACACCAAGGTTTGGGAACCACTAAGCTAGACCACGTTGTGCGGCTCTGACACCAGTTCCCAGAGGGGGAGTGCTCCTCCTGGCATCAAGTGCCCACTTCCACGTGTGCATTTGCTCCCCACATAGAAATAGGGCCTCCTCTAGACACACTGCTTTATCTATCCGAGCGTCTAGCACCCAACCCAGAAAGGATTGAAGCCTAAGCTTATGCAATTGCTTATGATTGGCCTCGTCTATAAAATTAAGGAGAGAACCTGGAGTTAAGACAATGGGATTCAGAGTTTGCATCAACATGGAGGAATTTAGAAGTGTACATTAATAATAAATAATACTGGGATACTTTTGTCCTGAAAGACCATTGCAAACAGTTCCTGGCACCCTAAGCACAGGCCTTAGAGATGGCTCACTTTCCTTTACCAATTTTTTCAGGTCCTTATGCGCTTGGTGTATACAGTTGAGGTCTCTTCTAATTCCTGAAAACACAGGAACATCAGCATCATCACTTTATCAATAGGGATATTTAAACGTAAAATATTAAATAACTTTATCACAGGAGATACCCTTGGCCCTGAATCTGCATCTCCTTTGGTTGAAGATATCATGCTCTCTCTCTTTGCTGCCGTTGCTCCTCCTGACCAGGTAATCGCCTATGATCAGCCTTCAAACTCTGATTTACCCTGGACCTCTGTCCTCCACACTGCCACATCTGTAACGTCCCTAAACGTGACAGCTATGACATTCTTGGAAGGTCCAGTACTACACTCACTTACTCTACTATGGACGGAAGGATGGCCTGGTAAGTGGAGAATGGAGAGAGTCCCTTTAACTCTGATGGGAACTTGAGAGGAAACAGCAAAACTGAACCAAAAGGTGACCATGCAGACTCCCAATGTGTATGAGTTCCACACATCCGTTTTGCGATATGAAAAGTGATAGACTGGCAATGGATTTGGCACTCAAGTGATCTAAGAGCAGAATTTTCTTGTTTTTGGAACTTTTTGCTTTTTGTGTTGTTTGTGTACATGCGTGTGCGTTGTGGTGTGTGTGTGTGCGCATGCATGTGTGTTGGGGGGTGTCTTCTCATATCACCACAGTCTAAAGTCTGCCATCTTCATCATATTCAAAGGGTGCTGCAAATTTGCATGAGTTTTTCTAGGTTTCCCAAGAGAGGAGGTCACAATGTTTTTAGTCATCAGCCAGGGAGTGCGCTGGAAACCCATGAGTCACCCAGGAAGGAGTTAAAAGAACAGAAGGCATAGTGGAGATACTGTGGAATGCTTCACATGTGCAAGTAGTATGGAAGCACAAGGCTCACACAGTGTTCCAGAAGAGAACGGAGCTGCTTTTCCTTAAGTGCAGTAATGGCTTGAAAGGTGTATGTGCTGCCAAAAGCTTTAATTGGAAAGTATGTGTATCGATGAAATAAGCAGACAATAGAGAAAGGTGCACATAACTCATCCTGATTGGGGTAAATTACCTGACTGAGCCCTGATGTTCCGTCAACAGACTGAAGGTAGTATGCACTGAGCTGGGGCAGCAAGGAGAGAGACAAACCAGGTGTGACAAGGACACCACTGACCCATGATCAAGATAAGATGTTTAGCACTGCCAACAGCATAGAAAGCGGGAAAGGCAAGAGCAGGGAGAAGAAGGAGAAGAGGAAGGAAGAACGCAAGGACTGGGTACAAAAGCAGAACAGGACGCCAGATTCAAATTGTCCCTATGTGGTGATTTCCCAAAGATGGCTCAGAAGGGCAAGTTCCCTCAAAGCATTCTAGCTAACATCTAACAACACATCTGCAGGAGACGTTCTGACATCTTGGTACGTTTGGACTCATTTTGTCCTCAAGTCTGGGAAGCAGGCACCATCACCAGTCCTCTTTTACAGGGGAGACCAGGGAAACGCAGCAAGATGGAGGCCGGGAGTTCTCAACTTGGTCTTGAACCCATGAAGCACTATCTCTGAGTCAGTGTGCTTGACATTTGTTCTCCATCGCACCTAAGGAGAGCTTCAATGATTGCACCTCAGAAGGACAGCTTCAATGATGAACATCTTCATTCCACAGTTTACAGAACTCCTCACAAGTTGATCAACTAATGCCGTTTGCCATTTTATTATTTCTGGTTACCAATAATCCATTTAGCTTCCCTCTAAACTCCTGAGGTAAAGATAGTTAAGCACTATAAATTGGCCCACTGGACACTAGAATCTATTCTTGGGAGGAGCTGTCCTGATTCACTGTGGCTGATACAAAAGCCACATGTAAGTGGAATATCTTGTTTGGGTCAGAAAAGGGTCACTTTTGTGTACATGGAATGAGACAGTACTTCAGAGAATAAACATTGTGTTCTTCCTTTTTCTTCTGGGCAGAATTTGGGTCATTGTTCAGCTCCACAAGATGTTGTCAGAATGGGACAGAGAAGAAAAAGCAAATTGTTGTTTTTAAGGACAGCACACCAGGTAAAAGCTTGGATAGATTGAAAGGAGATTAGCAGGAACAGAAAACGTGTTCACTTCTCAGAGCCCACACAGAGTCTCCACAACTGGTGTGGGGTGCATCATGGGAAGATGCCAGAGAGGCAACAGTACTTTGTGAGCTCTCATCACGATGCTGGAGTGTCCAGGTGCAAGCCGCCGATATGGCTGAGGGTGCCATGTTACTTTCTCCCTCCCCGCAACCAAGATGGCAGAATGGGGAGTCAACGAACCACTTCCCTTATTGGACTATAGAAGAGGCCAAGAACTAACTAGTGAAGTTGTCAGGACCATCCTGGAGGGATCCATGAAGAATGAATGGCTTCTGTGACCCCAGTGTCACCAGGGTAGCCCTGAGGGCTCCAATGGGCTGAAGTGTGAAGGAGAAAAGAGCCACAGATAAGAACTACCGAGGAGCTCCTTGACTAGGAAGTAGGTGACACACAAGAATGGTTAGCATGGAGGAGATATGGCTGCATCCAAGGATGCTCAACAGTGAGACAAGGCTGAGAGAGTGCAGCAAAGCAGAGGTGGTCCAGCCACCAACCCTCACACCATTATGTGCCCCAGACAGGAGGCACTGGAGGATAAGGTTGACTCCAGACAGAGAAACAGAATCAATGTACGACCCAACCCCTACCCACTACAGAGTTCTGCTCACGGAACCCAAGGCCAGCATCACCTCGAGGTTAGCAGAAGGTGAGCGATCCAACATGGGAAAGCTGCCCTTTGCTGAGTTTGCCTACAAGGGTTTAGATGGTTGTTTTACCACTTTTGTTGTTTTAGGCAAAATGAAGCTCAGAGATGGACCTAAAAAGAACTATCCAGAACAGAGTTATTTGTGTCTAATAAATTTCCTTACTCGGAGGAATTAAAGATCAAGTAAAGTCAGTATTTTGCTTTAATTCTTCAAATCTAAGCTGCCTAATTCAATTGTGGATTTCCTGGGACTTAATTTAAAAATATCAGTCAGAATAAAACAGAAATGATGGTTATGATAACTCTAAAAATTATCCTACATTAAAATGAAATAATTCCACTAAAGCTGATTTATACAGGTAAGAGGTAATTTCCCTAGGTTACTCCCCTCACCTTGAAATCCTAACACTGCACTAAATAACTGAAGATAGTGTTTTCCATTAAGAACAAAATAGTCTCTTTGAAGCTGAACCCAAGAGCGCTAAAATTCTGAACTGATGAATTTTCTAGTCTTTAAATTTTCTGTTGCTTTAGTAGTACAGTCATTAGCTACTAAAAAAATCTTACGTTAAACGATAGACATGTCTCCATTGGAATTATTAAAGTAGACATTTTTTCACTTTATCTCTTAACATGGTAAAGAAATGTCCCATTTTAAAACCTAATAATTTCAAATAAAATTTAATACTCACCCCCATGAATGATAAGTCCCCAGTTTACTCTTTTTTAAAACATGGTTTCTGGGGATTGAAGTCAGGTTCTCATCCTTGCCGGGCAAGCACCTCACTAACTCATTTATCTCAGCCCGTAATTTAGCTTTTCAGAACTATTCTAGCATCTTCTGCTGTCACAGGGCCTCAAGGTACTTAATTCTTATCCCATAAAATGAAAAACACCTAACAACAACTTTAGTATAAATTATGAGAGTCTAAAATTTGCTTCTGAATTTATTTTTAATGCCATGTTATTTTCTTGGTAATCGAATTAGCATTATATTAGGGCATAGCATATCCCACTGGCCAAATTATTTATTCAGTGTTACTTTGCTAGAAGTTTTATTACAAAAAGAATGTATTAAATATTCAGAAAACATGTGGTTTCTATTGTATGGCTCATGCTACTAGTATTGTTACTATTATTACTAATTGTCTGAGTTACTAAGTCTTTATAGTTGAGATACAACTATGATTGGTGGCTACTAATGAATTCAGGGAGCCCTTGGGTAATGTCAGCACAAAGCCCTCCCCACGAGGGCTCCTCTACATGGATGGCATTCATGTGCTGCTCTTTTAATTCAGTCATGTAATAAGATTATATACTTTTATGTTCAAAATTTCAATATTTGCTTTCAGAAGTGAAATCTCTAGTCAAGGGCGCTAGGGAAGAATTTCCTTGTTAGCAAAGTTATAATTTATAAGCAGAGATACTGGCTAATGCGGCAGAAGACATGGTGTGCTGAAAGAGTAGGTTTTGCCTAACCCTGCTCATGCTTCTCACATGTAAGTCAGGCTACGGCAAAGATTAAGTTTTGTCACACGTATTTACTGGAAATACTAACGTCCAGGCAATAGGGTTTCTGGGGAGGAAAA